TGGCCGCAGTGCGACCGACAGTATCGCTCGTGGTGCCACTCGCACGCTGCGCAGCGCTGCCCACAGTGTTCGACGACCATCGAGAAAGACGGCGGATGCAGCCACATGAAGTGCACGTATTGCCACTACGATTTTTGCTGGCGCTGCCGCATCAAGTGGGCTGACCACAACCATGCGCTGTGTCTGCCGGTCGCATGCGTGCGCTCGACGCATTGGGCCTTTGGCCCGATCGCGCCTGTCCGGTTTGTGACCAAGACCGTCGCGGGTGTCCTTGGTGTCGGCGTTGCCGTTGCAGCGGGCGCCGTCGCCGTTGGCGTCGCCGTCGTCGTCGTGCCACCAATTTTAGTCTACGATGGAGTTCACGCCCTTTGTCGTAGCGACTCGACCGACGCAGTCCCCCAGGTGATGCATTCGCGCCCTCGTCATGCCGTCAGATATACGTCGCTTGCGTCAGTTCCTGACGCGACCGACGACACTATCTATTGCCTCCTTGGACCTGAGTCGCCACTCAATCAAGCCAACGCATCAACAAGCTACATGCACGAACAAGACGCACCCTAACAAGGTGTTTTCAACGAAATAGCTAGCTGCATTAATGAAGGCGATCTATCTATCTATCTATCTATCTATCTATCTATCTATCTATCTATCTATCTATCTATCTATCTATCTATCTATCTATCTATCTATCTATCTATCACTGTTTGACGGACTGAAGGCTATCATAGTGTGCAACGTGCTTGCAACCTGCAGCTGTTAGTTATGTCGCTGCTACAACTGCGCCGTGGTTTTCTCGACTTCGCACGCAGATACCTCCTCGGGACTACAGTGCACGCCATCTGTAGCCTACCAAATCGCCCTTTTTGTAACAATTTTGACCCGGTGTTATCCGGATCCGGACGAGAGGCAAAATTTTCTGAAAGACATCGAATTAGGCTATGAATCACGCAGCGGTGCTAGTTATGCTCATAAAGCTATCGTTTACGCCTTGTCTAGCACCGACATGTTGATACGCCGATGAGAGCGTCGCTTCTTGACGGCCCATTCCGCTGCCTCCAACGATAGGCCTTTGCGATAGGCGTCCATGTACCGCCAGCACTTTCTGGCGTAGCGACGAATGGAGGCTAACTTGTCGTGCTCCATGGCAGCTTCGATCGTCGGGAGAAGCTTTGCGAACGAGTAATCGCAGTGCTCTCGGCAGTAGTACTTGAGGGCACCCAGTACATCTCGATGACATTGAACTCGCAGTGAAACTTGGGCAGAAAGAGAGCGACGTGCCCAGCAGCCTCAATGGTTTCTTCAACGCAGCCCTTCTGGGACGTGAAGTCGGGCTGGGATCCGAGGAGGTCCTTGGCCGTGTCGAGTCTGAGGCTGGCGCTCCAAAGCCCCCGCTCCTGGAGTACGATCCTGATACCCTTGGGCGTTTCGTCGGGAGCTTTGACCAGCGACTGCGTGACACGCACGCCATCCTTCTCGTACCAGCCGTCGCGCAGCTTGGGTTGCTTGCCGCCGGGGTTGAGGTTCATGTTTGACGTATTGAGCGCGTCGGCAGCAAAAGCACCATGGTTGGTGCTGTTGTCGAACAGAAAGACGCCGACGCAATCCGGGCGCAGGGCCTCGAACACAGGAAGCATCTGGTGCCGACGTACGCGGCTCGCTTGCGCTGCGCAGCCTTGTCATCGTGCGCGATGGTCCAAACGACTGGAGTCTCTTCTTCATCTGGACCTTCTTCACGTGGACCCTCGTCGACGTTGATGTTGTCTGTGACCATGAAGAAGTCTTCGTCCTCCAAGTTGTCGTCCTCCGAGTCGTCGACCTCGATGCCGTCGTCAAGAAGCGTCTCCTCCTGCTCCAGGGGTGGGCCTAGATACAATAGTCAGTTGTAGAAAGCTGCCCTAGCGCAAAGTACCTTGTGCTGCGGAGACGGCCTAAGCACGGTCCAGCTTTCGGGCCTTGCGTGCGTGCTCCAAGTGCAGGACTCGCTTGGTCTTCCGAGGCATGGAAAAATGGCTGAGTGAGCTCGTTATCCGGATAATGACACCTCATCCGGCGCCGGTGGGCCTTATCCGGAGGGGCTCCATGTTATCCGGTCAAATTTATGTAACAATTTCGGACCCCTTGGTACTGTGATGCCCAACTTTGAACGCCCATAACTTCGTCAGTTTTTCATTTCATTGCGATCGGCTCTTATACATCTCTTCGTCTTGGACAGAACAGTCGATTTATAACGTCCTTTTGATATAAAAATGAAGACTCAGAGCTAGGATTCAAAAGTTTTGGACCACATTCATCTGGTAGGGTACAGGTGGCGTGCACTGTATCTTATACAAAGTAATGTCGTGCTCATGATACGAGTTGAATGCGCCACACAAACGTGGTGGGTCAAGTTGTGCAGGGAAGTACCCCACAACACCAAATAGAAATGCCACTCAACACGAAGTGCACACGGCACCATTTTGTACAGTATTTCAGTATGTAGCGCCATGCCATCCCAACTATCGCGAGGTCGACCACTTTGCGTTTGAAAACGAAATGGCCAAGACGTGGCACAGTGGTAGAGGACATGATGCATAGCACGAGAGCAAGGTCGCGCTGACGTGCGAGGCGTCCAGCGGTAGCGAGACGCGATCCAAGATGCGCGCCAAACTAAGATCGTAGTACCAGCTGAGAGGCACCACGCCAGGACGTCTTAGCAAACTCGGACTTGCTCCAGATCACACGACAGTGCAGCGTAGAGATCCACTCATTGGGGTTGGTTCAAATGGGCCTAGTAGAGCACTTGGCCGTTGGGAATGAGCTGCTCGCGCGAGTCGTACGCAGGCTCCTGAACTCGGACCACCCGACAGACGAGTGCGTTTCAAACGAAACCGTCCGAGCCCGTATCCGAATAAATCCGGATACCGGCGAGCATGGAGCCGACGCCAGACTTGGCGCCGGCGGCAGTGGCGACCGCGCCCGCGGGGCGAAACGCAGGAGGGCCAGCGTCATCTCCTTTCCTTGACGGTCGCCGCCTAAGTGCTGGTCCAGCACTTAGGCGGCAAAGGACGTAAGGCACAGGCCACACAGCTCGCCGAAGCGCGCCATGGCCCTTGGCCATGGCCCTTGGAATGGCGTCCAGCCAACAAACCTGCTAACGTAACAATGACAACCCATTGGTGCACCATTGGAACACAGGCTCTATCTAGGCTTCTGCATGCTCCACCACGTTGTATCGTGCGAGAGCAGCATGTATGAGTTGTCCTGAACATACGTAGATGCAGCACAAAGGACGGACACGTTAGTAGCACAACTATACACGCACATCGACTCTGGACTCTACTGCAGTCTACTATGTGCACCCCGCACCATTTTTCGCGCCTTCAATCGAGTGCACCACCTGTTTGTGTAGAACAACTGCACGCAACCGTTACCCAGTTTGGCGGTTGTAAATCAAGTTGCCAATCAGGTCTGCTGTTCGATCGCACGCAGTGCTTGTGGACTCGGGAATGTTCTTCTCACATTCAAATACGAGCCA